TATAACTATAGAGCCATGGAACAATAGAACCATGTAACTGTAGAACCATGGAACCTAAGAACCATAGAGCCATGGAACAATAGAACCATGTAACTGTAGAACCATGGAACCTAAGAACCATAGAACCATAGAACAATTGAACTATAGAGCCATTGAACCATAGAACTATGGAGCCATAGAACGATGAAGCTATAGAACTATAGTGCCATGGATACATAGAACTATAGAGCCCTGGAACCATAGAACTATGGGACCGTAGTACTGTAGAACCATGGAACCTAAGAACCATAGAGCCATGGAACCATAGAACTATAGACATGAAACCATAGAATCATAGAACTATGGAACAGTAGAACCATTGTAGAACCGCTAACGGACTCTGCTGTCTCCTGTCCAGGCGGGGAACGTGGAGCAGGCGGCGGAGGACCCGGGCCAGGAGGAGGTGGTGCAGCAATGCATGGCCAACCAGGCCTGGCTGGAGGACCTGTTCAGCTCCTTCGTGGAGCTGCTCAGCCTTAGTGCAAAGGCCTGAAGGAGGAGGAGGACCCAGACTGGATGAGTTCTATGACAGCTCACCACGCAAACAACCAGAGAACATCAGTTATCTATGACTTTTCTAGGTGGAACGTGTTTTTATGAGGAACGCCTCTTAAGAAACTCTTGATTCTAAAGAAGGTTCTGACCAATAGTGGATGAATATGGTGGAACAGAAGAACTTTGATCGACATCCACGAAATATCTATAAAGGTGTTTTATTACATCTGGAATGTAAAATGTATACAGTCACATTTTTAATGTTTGTTCTTATTTTTGAAGAATACTTTAAAGAGATGAAGGAAACTTTCCTGGTTTATTGATTGAAATGAGGTTCTGCTGAACTCTGATATTTGTCCAATCATCAGGATGGAGGACAAGCTGGAAAAGTGTTCTGATCCAAACCATGATGTTTCTGTTTCTTTTCTAAAAGATGGTTTATTGACCCAACATGAAGCACGTTTTTAATTCCAAAATCAATAGAGAAGAAAAGATGACCCGGCCTAAATGTTTAATGTTGGTCATTTTTATCTGTTTCTTGTTGATTTTTCCTACGGTTCTGTAAATACTGTACAGCGTTCCGTTCTCTAGTCGGCAGTTGCTCTTCTGTACATGAAATTTCTGTATTTGACAAAAGGAAGTAAAACAGCTTAAAATGACATGAAATGAACTCTAGTTTATTATCTGTGTCTAAAATAATTTGACTCTCTTTATGCACACATATCACTGCAGAGTTACTCTAATCCAATTCCTTGTTATTTTTATTTTACAATCACACCATCCAACGCCATCTACTGGCCGTCTAGTGAAATGCATCCATATATTTTGCAATCCAAGATGGTTGACAGACAGCAAACCATTTAGAGGGGCTTAGGAAATTCCTGTAAATCCTCCAAAGACCCTGGAAGTTAAAACAGCAGCACATAGTAACTATAATACTGCTGATATATTTTTATGAATATAAAATTCATATTGGGGAGAATTAATTGGTTTCCTCTCCACTAAATGGACACCAAGCATCAGTGGCTACATTTCAGCAGTAATTTATAGTACAGCTCTAAATGTTCTAGATCATTGTTGATGACTGGGGGCCCCTGAACCCTGCAAGGTCTGAGCCCTACCTCTAAAGGTGCATTCACAGCCAACGCGTTCTGGGCGTCACAAACGCCTAAAGACTGAAATATGGACGCTGGATCAAACGCTGGTCCAGCTGCTTTGATGCTTCGACGCTCTGGTTGTTTTTCTGTAGCTTAAAGCTAGAGAGCAGCTTGGCTTTATTTACTGTATGAGCTGGAAAATAGTTCTAATAGGTTTATATAAGTATGGTTTGCAAACACAAATGTTTTCTTAAACCGACAGCTTTATTGTAAATGCTTATCTGTGTGGCCCTCTGCTCGGAGCCAAAGGGTCGTGGCCCCTTCCTGAACAAAGGTTCCTCATCCCAGTAAATGCATCATCAGCAGAAGTCTTTAGTTTGGAGATAAACTGACTTTTTTCCAGTAAATAAGGAAAAGAAGTATTTCGATTATTTAAATAACTAAAAAAGTTTATATTTTTGCGGGTTGAGATGTGATGCGAAGTAAAGCCGACAGAAGAACAACGATCAGCTGAATGAGGCTCAGGGTGGGAGCTGGGAACCGCTGACATTGGTTAATGAACTGATGATGACCAATCAGTGAACAGCAGTCTGATGATGTCACAGTTTAGTCCAGTGCTGCTGTGATGGAAGTGGTCCTCTCTGGTATCTGATCTTTATTTAGCCCAGAGTGAGTCCTACCTGTAGAAATGTGGAGCAGCTGATGCAGCAGAGCGTGGAGGGGAGGGCTGAGAGTTTATCCACGGCTTAGAGAGGAGGAGAGGATCCAGGCGGTTAGGCTCAGACAGGCTGTGGCTCATCTGCAGGACGGAGACGCTGAGCTAAGAGCAGCAGCTCCTTCAAAGAACCCAGTGTTAGTAGGAGGAACCCGCAGGAGTCTGAGCTCAGAGCTGATCCACGCTAGAACTTCATCAGCTTCAGGTTCAGTCTGTTTATCATTTGTTCATTTCAGGACATTGTGCAGTTCCTGCAGAGCTGGCTGATAATTCTGGACTGTTTCTGGACCCGTCTCAGGCATGGCGCCGGACGTGGAGAGGATCATCCAGAGCATCGGCCTTGGAGACCAGGACGCCGTCCAGCTCCTGCTGGACAACTACAACACCCAGGTTACCCACGGTTGCCATCAAGACATATTCCTTTTTGTAACCATGGAAACAGTGTAAGGGGTGGATGGGAAAAGGTTGACATTGCCTGGAAGAAGGTTGGGGATGTTAGCTGAAGCAGGGAGCACTGGGTTGGTGCGCTCTGTCAGGTTGACGTCCTGCTGCCACGGCGTCAGGAGGCCGTCTTCATCAAAACAAACTGTTCAGATTTAAAATAAAAAATCTTTTCTCCCTCCACAGCATGCAGAATGCTTCTTCTTCAACACTGAGGCGCAGGAGAGGAAAAAGGTCAGTGAGCAGA